CTTGTTTATGTGTCCTTTCATTTCAACGAATGCAGCCTGCTGTGCCTTTGTTGAGGCAAGTTTTTGCTCACCCAGTTGTCCTCAATTCTCAGCAAGCCACTAAGCAACCTTTTCTCTGCTGTTTATCAGTGTACCAATTTCTGGGTTCAGAATGGTTGCCTTCTGGGTCCCTGAGCTGACCTGTTTTCTGGGCAGGCTTCTGGCTGGGGCCTGTGCATAGTTGTGATGGTATCTATGCAAGCCTCTGACTAGGGCCTGCCTCCCCGTGTAGCTGTTATCTGGGAGGGCCTTTGGCTGGGTGTTGTGCACCCCAGACCCTGGTGTCTGAGCAGGTTTCTGGCTAGGGTCTCTGCGCACTTACTGATGGTATGGGGCAGGCCTCTGGCTGCTGATTCTGTGCCTGTGCAGTTCTTTTCTGGGCGACCCTTTGGCTTTTGCTTGTGTGCCCAGGCCCCTATCAGGGCAGGGCCCTGGCTGGGATGGGCGTGCAGCAGAGAGGTTCTGGTCCTCACTGCTGATCGCCAGGATCTCTAGGCCTCATCTCTTAAAGGTTTGAACACCTTTCAGTACGATTATAGTGGGGAGACAGCTGATTGTTTTGCAGCCCTGCTGTAAAACATCTAGGGTCATTGAATCCTCAATAGTTTAGATAGAGGGAAGTAGCCACGCGCTTACATCATACCACTCTCTAGGACTGGCCCTGACTATATATATGAAAATATGCATGTAGCAGTAACTCTTATTTAACTTAGAGTCACCTTACTGTCTCTTTTGGATGGTGGTAGTTAGGAGGAATTTGAGGAGCAATCACCTCAAAAAGCAGAATTTACTGTTCCTAAATACTCTTTACTACTAAACTCTTTTATTACTATATCATTATGGGAATACATGAGTCCATCTATACTGATGAAAATTTTTCCTAAGTATAAGTTATTTAAAAGACAAGGAAATCGGAAATGGAAGTCTAAATACAAATGTATGTGTTTGTCCATATTATCTACGTACTGTCCTTACTAGAGAACAAAATACTAAATTAATTGCAAGTATTCCCTCCTCCCTTTATTTTTTTTTTTAACTCAACCCACTATATCTTCAGATTGTGTTTCTGTGCATTGAAAATACCCAGGAGAAAACATTACATCTGTACTGAACATGAACGGACTTTTCCTTGTCAGTATTCCCTAAACAGTACAGAACTGTATAATGACTATTTACATAACATTTACATTGGTATTTAAAAAAAATTTTTGTTGATACATGTTTCTAGTACATGTTGACTGTATTCTTAATGGGGAGTTGGTATGTATGCATAACATTTCTTAATTCTTTTTTTTAATCCCCCTCCCTCTATCCCTCTGCATCTCTTGGTCCTCTTCTCATTCATATATATACAGAGTCCACCAAAAAATGTATATATCAGGAAAAAAAAACTTGTATAAATATTTTAATACTAATTTATTGAGACATCATGAGATTAGTAAGTAACCTTTGGCCTCTACAATTACAGCAGGTGCTCAAAAGTGGTGAACATTTATTAGTGTGGTGAATTACTGAAATATGTGTACTTCTTTTGGCAGATTCTGTATATATATGTATATATATATTTTTTCTTAATACATGTTTGTAGTACATGGTAATCACATTCCTCATAGGGACTTGGTACATGTACACAACACTTTACAATGACCCCCACCCCTTTTGTAATTTCATTTCCTTTCCCTCCCTCCCCATCCCCATCTCTGTTTCCTTCCCATATGTCAAAAATCCATCTCAATATTTCCTATTCTGTTTTATTTTGCACTTTATTTATACATTGAGTTTCTCATATAAGCTCTTGTGTCTGATTTACTTCACTTATGGTAACTTTATGCTCTCAAGGTACATCCACTTCCTACAGATGACTCATTTGTCCTCTTTTTGGCTGAGTAATACTCCATGGTGTGTAAATACCACACTTTATCCATTCATCTGTTGATGTACATACAGGCTGGTTCCAAGATTGAGCTATGAAGACTTGTATTGCTAGAACATGGTAGACATGTATCACTGTAATGTGACTGTAATGTGATGTCTTTAACTCTATCAGGAAGATACCTAGAAGGGGAATAGTTGGGGCATATGGAACTTATAATATTAGTTGTTTGAAGAGTCTCTACTGATTTCCACAGTGATTGTACCAGTTTACACTCCCAACAACAGTGAAGAAGAGTTCCTTTTTCCTTGCAGCCTCTCCAACATTTGTTATTATTTGATTTCTTGAAGATACATAGCTGTTCTTTCTGGAATAGATGGAATGTTAGGATTGTTTTAATTTGCATTTCTCAAGTGACCAGCAATGTTGAACATTTTTCATACATTTATTGTCCATTTACACTGCTTCATCTGAGAAATGTCTATTCATTTCAGATGGCCAATTTTTGATTGGGTCTTTAAATTTGAGGTTGGAGTCTAATTTTTCTGAGTTCTTTATATAGTCTACATATTAGTCCTTAGGCTGAGGAGTAGCTGGCAAAAATTGTTTTCCATTCTCTAGCTTGTCTCTTCACTCTGTTGGTGATTTCCTTTGCTGTGCAGAAGCTTTTTAATTTGACGTTTTCCCATTTGATTCATGGTATTAATTCTTGTGCAACCAGGATTCTGTTCAAAAAGTCCTTGCTTACCCACTGCAGTGTCTTCAAGAATTTTACCAATTTTATCTTCCAGTAGATGAAATGTTTCAATTTTAATATTTAGATCTTTGATTTATTTTGATTTTTGTTCAGCACATGGTGAGAGATATGGGTCTGGATTCAATCTTCAGGATGTGGATAGCCACTTTCCCCAGCACTATTTGTGAAAGAGGCTCTTTCCTCCAGTGAAAAGTATTTGGCCCCCGTGTCAAAGATGAGGTAGCAGAATGTACTTGGAGTTGTTTCTGTATCCTCTGTTCGGTTCCATTGATACTCAAGTCTGTGTTTTTGCCAATACTAGGCGCTATTTTTATCACTGTAGCTTTGTAGTATAACTTGAAGTCTGGCATTCTGATACCTCTGCCTTGACTTTGTTCCCCAGAATTGCTTTTACTATTCTGGATCTCTTCTGGTTACGTATGAATTTTAGGATTGTTTTCTCTAGTTCTCTGAGGAAGGCTATTGGTATTTTGATCAGGATTGTGTTAAATCTGTGTAACAGTTTTGAAAGTATGGTCATTTTGACTTTTATTGGTTTGTCTATCCAGGAGCAGGGTATATCATTCCATTTTCTGATATGATCTTTGATCTCCATTTTCAAAGCACCGTAGTTTTCATTTTAGAGGCCTTAAACTTCCTTGGTTAGGTTAATGCCTAAGTATTTCATTTTCCCTCATGTTAGTGTGAAAGTTATTGATTCCCTAATTTTCTTACTGATGTATAGAAACACAATTGATTTTTGAGTGTTGATTTTATTTGCTACTATGTTACTGAATAAATTGTAGGAGTCTTTTGATAGAGTTTTTTTTGTGTATTCTATGTAGAGGATCAGATCATCTACAAATAATGATAATTTAACTTATTCTTTTCCTGTCCATATACCTTTTATTTCTTTCTCTTACCTTATAGTTCTGGCTATTGTTTCAGGAATTGTATTGAATAGGGGTGGTTCAAAGATAGTGGACATCTTTGTCTTGTTCATGATTTTAAAGGGAAAGTTTTTAGTGTCTCTGTTTAATATGATCTTGATCATTGGTTTGTCATAGATGGCTTTTATTAGATTGAGATAAAGATCTTCCATAACTATTTTCTTAAGGCTTTTTATTGTGAATGGATGTTGGATTTTTGTCAAATGATTTTTCTCTACCCATTGAGTTGATCATGTGATTTTTTTTAATCCTTAACTTCTGTTTATGTGGTCTATAATATTTATTGATTTGCATATGTTAAACCATTCCTGCATCCCTGGAATGAATGAATCCTAGTTAGTCTTTTTTTTGTTCCAGCCTTTTCTGGATTTAGGATGAGAGTAATGCTTGCTTCAATGACTGTGAGTATTGCTTCCTTTTCAATTTCATTAAAGAGTTTAAGGAGTTTGGGCATTATATATTCTCTAAAGTTCTTATAGAATGAACTTTAGTGAATCGTCAGGACCTGGGCTTTTCTTAGTTGGTAGTTTTTTTGCATCCTTTTTGAATTCAATGTGTTTCTTATATACTGCATAGCATTGAATCTTGTGTCTTTTGATTGGGGAATTGAGGCCATTTATATTGAGGGTTATTACTGAGAGGTACTGTCTTATTCCTGTCTTTGCATTGTTTTCCTGTTGCTGATTTCTTCGTTTTACCTTTTGCTTAGCTGCTCATCTCACCAGGTGTATTCATTATTTTTGACTTACTAGGTTTGTTGGCTTTATTGTCTCTTGCTAGGATATCCTTGAGAATTTTTTGGAATGTTGGTTTGCTGGCCATGAATTTTTTGAGGTGCTCCTTGTTATTAAAAATACCTTATTTCTCCATCAATTTTGAAGGAAAGTTTTGCAATATATATTGTCAGGTAAAAAAGCCGAAAACCAAGACCAGACTAGGCCACAACAAGCCTTTATTGTAGGAACAATCTACCGGGCTGTCTCTAAACAAAGGAGAGACAAAAGCAATTTGGCCAGGATGGGGAGTGCTTCTTATAAGAGCTGGGGTGGGGTTAAGTGAGGTAGTGGCTAGGGACTGGAGGAGCCTGTGATGTCACTAGTTGCTAGGAGGAGAGCAAGTATTAGTTTACTGTTTTGGTGGGAGTAGGAGCATGTTGGAAAGAAGGTAGCTGTTATATACAGCAGCCACCCTAAATTGGAGGGAAATCTATCATATATAAATCAAGGTTGGAAATTATCTTTTAGGGATTGAGACACTTTATTCCAAGTCCCTCTGGCCTTTTAAGTTTTGTGTTGAGAAGTCTGCTATAATTCTAATGAGTTTACCTTTTGTGCCTCCCTCCCCCTGGGGGGTTGCTGTAGTTTGAAATCAGTGTTGTTATTTCTATTTTTATGTCTTTCAGTATAGAAGATCGCATATGAATCAGTTTAAGAACATGCAAGCTTTGAAGAGCTGAAAAAACCCCAGCAATAAACCTGTGTTTTCAAACTGTAAGTAAACTAACCACTCTCCTTCACTCATTTTTTAACATCTTTATACCTGTAGCTATTGTTCTTTAGTTGTCTTAGTTACTTTTCTTTTGTTGGTGAGACAAAATACCCCACACCCAAAGTTAAAGGGGAAAAGGTTTATTTGACTCACAGTTTGTAGAGGTTTCAGTCCATAATCACTGGCTCCAAGGCAGGTTGTCTCGGCATAGGGGCCTCACAGAGGAGAACAGTTTATGGTGCCCAACTGGTAGCAAAACCAACAAAGAACCTTAACAGCAAGTCTTTCTGCCTCTTTTACTTTATCCAGACTACTGGGATTAGGGTGATGCCAAATTAATCAGTGTACTGATTTGGAAATCTCATACCCTTAATCCTAGCATCACACACTATAGATTCAGCCACCTCTGAAAAAGCCCTATGACCACACGAGGCTTTGGGGGGAACATCTAGACACAAGCCATAACAGTTTGTGTGTCAGTAATCTGCCTTCTTGTTTCATCTATGAAAATTTATGACCCCCCTACCTCTTTAGTTTTTAATTCTAAAAGTAGTATTGATACAGGAAATGATATCAGGACCTCCAAATATGATATAAGGGAAATACTATAACTCCCAACCTGTTAGTTGGGTTGTCAGCACCTCTGATACATCACATACATGTTCTCTAAAATCACAGAATAAATTCTAGGAACAGTGGAGGTTAAGAGTAGGAAATGTTTATTGAGAGGATAGCTCCTGAGAGGTGGGAGGGGTCCCAAATAGGTAGCCAAGGACCCCACTTTTCAGAGGAAGTTTTCCAGAGCAAAACCCATGTGAGTACAACATGGATTACAGCTATGATTAACCAATAAGGTTACAAGTATAGTCTCTTAGGTAATAGTGATCCAGTGAGGGAACAAGTCACAACAAGTGCACATGGAAAGAACAGAGACTTTTTCTAGGAAATGATGGGTCTGGAGGTCTTGGTCACCCACTGGGGTGACTGATGTCTATGTAGACTTCATTAGGCCAGGTGTTACTGCTTATCTTGTCCTTTGGGGAAGTGTGCAGGTCTGGTCATTTTCTGTTTGTCTTGAGGTCTGGTTGTAATATGTTTTCATCTTTTACACTGACCATCTTTTGCACAGGGATTAACTGCCTATAATATTTCTACCTAATTTAGCTGTCTATAATAGTGTGACTAAAACCCATTGGCTTCAGTGTTTAGGATGTTGTGGCAGTTAATGAGCAAATCTTTATTTGGCACAAAAAGGGAAAATACAGGCATGGCATGGTTGCATATAAAAGATGCATTCTCTCTCTTCAGTCTCTTTATTTAACTTCATAGATCATTTCAGCACCTATTGGACTAAGAAAATGAGGTGGTAGTTTTCACAAACGGATTTACCTCCTTTTAGCCCCTTTCTCCCCATTCTTACTCATTCATTACTACTGTTTATTGACCTTACACTGAGTGATAAGCATTTGATTAAGTTGATTTAGTACTCATTCAAAAATACTTTTTCTAAATGCTTGCCATGTGGCAATTGCTGTTCTGCCACTATTATCTAATTCTTGTGGCAATTTTGCAAACTAGGCCTTAATATGTCAGTGATCCAGGTGAGAGAGGACAGTGAGGGCCAGAGAGAAGAAAAGAGTGTACTTATCATCAGCCACACAAGTATGGGCAGGGTGCTGCATGACTTCTTCCAGTTTACCATGCCCTCACTAGTGTTTAAATGCTCTTCCTGGCACAGGTGTCAGTAAAAATCTGAACATCTGGGTTGTGTTGTTAACTGTAATGTGATTCTAAGATAGAGAAACTTCTTCTCATATTTGAGATGAAGCTTTGATACTTTTGATGAAGAGTTAAAAAATCTCTTGTCCAGTTGCAGCCCTTCTGTAGATTTTTTCTGTGCTCCCCAGAAAATGATTGCAATTAAGCCAACGGGGCGGGGGTGGGTGGGAGTGTGTTAGAGCAGATGCTTTCAAGTGTGTTGTTCCATAGGCTCTTTATTGAAGTGCTTATGCATGGAGGAAAATTTACATCATTATTGGATGGCTTGATGCAATAATTTTTACAAAGTGTATGCACCTGTGTCACCAGTGCCTCAACTAACAGAAAATTACCAGTGCCTAGGAATTGCCCTCCCTTCTTGCTCCTATGCGTAGCCAATATCTTGATTTTTTTTCAATATCTTGACTTCTGATGCCTTTGGCTAGTGTGTTTTTTAAAATTAATAAATAAAATCATATAGTGTGTGCTCTTTTGTGTCTGGCTTATTTTTAAATTATGTTTGAGAAACATCCGTATAGTTTGCTTTCTTCATTGCCTTTGTCCTAATACTATTTATTTTATTTAAGTAAGTTTTATTGGTACATTTTAGGTATACAATATAATGACATTCCTCATTGGAAATTTGCACCTTTTTATAATCTCTCTTGGTTATTTTTTCCCCATTCCTCTGCCCTCCCTTCAATCCCTCGACCCTATCCTATTTACAAAGACTTTGTTTCCATTTTTTCCTTTTCTCATATTAACTCCCTTCCCTTCTTTCCTTTCCCCTAGCCCTCCCACTTCCTTCCCCTTTGCCCCTTTTCTTCCTATTTCACATTATCCATTATACCTTTTAGTCCTTATTTACACTTTCTGTTTCTAACACTAGAGAAACTATTTGGTATTTACACATGTGTGTCCTAATTATTTCTCTTAAGAGTATGCCCATTGGATTCATTCTGCTGGGCTTCCTGGGTTGTGATCCTCCTTGTCTTTTCCTAGGATATTGTTTTAAAATTTTTGGAGTGCTGGTTTGGTATTCATGAAGTTCCTAAGGTGCTCTTTGTCATGAAAGTATCTTATTTCCCCATCAATTTTGAAAGATAGTTTTGCAGGGTACATCAATCTGGGTTGGAGGCTGTTTTCCTTTAGGGCTTGAAATACATCATGCTCTTCTTGCCTTGAGGGTTTGGTTTGAGAAGTCTGCTGTGATTCTGATGGACTTTCCTTTGTGTATGATTTGTTTCTTTTGTCTAACTGCTTGTAGAATTTTTTTTCTTCTGTTGGGTTTCTGGGTTTCTGAAATCTTAAGTATTGTATGCCTATGTGTAGATTTTTTTTGATGAAAGCTAGTTGGAGGCCTATATGCCTCACTTATCTTTATGTCAAGTTCTTTCCCCCCTCCTTGGGAAGTTTTCTGCCATCACTTCTGTGAACAGCTTTTTTATGTCATCTGCATTCTCTCCTGCTTCTTCATTGACTCTGATCGTCTTATGTTATTCTTTGCATTGTCTAGCAGCTGCTGGATTGTTTCTCATGATCCCTTACTATTTTAAAGACGTTTTTCTTTTCCTGATCAGTAATTGCAATCTTATCTTTGATATATGAAATTCTGTCCTCATATTGGCTCGTCCTGCTGCATAAACTTTCAATGGAGTTTTTAATCTCCTGGAAATGTGTTTGCATCTGTTGTACGGATTCCACTTGTTTCCTATCTTGCGATTTCATCATGTTCAGCTCCTATTTTTTTATCTGTTTCCTCTCTAGATTTATTAATCACGTCTTGTACTATGGGCACAATCTCTGCTGTTATCTGAGAAATTATTTCTGATTTCCTTTTTTCCACATCCTCTTTTGTTGCCAGTTCAGGGAGTCCAGGTGGTTGATTATCAGAGTATTCCATCTTGTTCCCCTGTGTGGTTGCTTTAGGTGATCTGGAAGTCTGGTTTTTCAAACTTGTTTACACTTCTCATTTCAAGGAGTGTGGGGGATATGTGCTGCTGGCACCCTCACAGCTGTCTTCAGTGCTTGGGGCAGTGGTACAGTAGAGCAGAAGGTCCACCTTCTCTGCCCTATGGTAGCTCTGCTCCTCGGCTCTGGGGTGGTAAAGCTGCCCAAAAGGTTCACTTCCTCGGCTCTGGGGGTGGTAGTACGTTGGTCTGGAAGTTTTGCTTCCTCTGTGCTCGGGGTAGCTTTCCTCCAAGGTGCTGGGGGTGGTGGTACAGCAGCCCAGAAGTTTCCCTAGTAATATTTATGTCATCTGTTTCATGGTTTGCTGGGCATTTAGGTTTGGGCATATTATTGATAGTGTTTTATTTAATATTTTCATGGATATCTTTTGATATTGATTGTATTTGTTTGTTTAGGGCCTACTCAGTGTAGGGGAAAATGAAGCCTAAGATGATACACTTTGGTTCAGGCTGTGGGAGGAGATTTCTCGTGGATATTAAGTCCAAGTCAGGAAGATTTTGGCACAAGCATAGGATATTGGTCTCAGTGTAATGTAAATAACAGATATAATGAAGGTCAATGTTGACCTGTGTAAATAACTTATATAACCAAAGTTTTTTCTCAGCACATGTCCACTATTGTGTACTGTATTTTGGCATAAGTGTAGACTGCCATGAGGGCTGGCAAGAGACTAAGCAGCTGAGGACTGCTTTGAGAATGGGCCAGCTAGAGGTGGAGGTTGCACTCGGCTGAACAGCAGCTCAGAATAAAGGCATGGTCAGACAGTTCCATGACTGTCTCTTCTTTAGGCTGCTGAAATCTCAAACGACTCTCCCCAGTCTGAACTGGTGACAAGATACTCAGTAACTTAGGTTTACTGAGTGATGAGAGTGATGCTGAACTAGACTTCTCTGAAAGCACAGCAGTTGATTTTAGGCAGCCTGCTGTGTTGTCTGCTTCCACAGGATGTTCTAAGCATACTTTCTTATCAAGAACAGATGAGGTTTTCTTAGTTTACTCAGAGGGTGTGGCCAAGTGGAACTCCATCTGGTATGTGTGTGATGGGCTGCCTTAGAAATTGAGGACATCTATAAACCTGATTAAGAGCCTGGGAAAGTGACAACAGAAGAAGGGTCAAGTTATGAGACCTGATATTTTAAAGAGATGACTAGAGAAATTAAAATTCAATTGAGCAGTTTTTGAATGAATTAACTATGATTTCTTTGTTTTAAGGAAATCTTGAAAAAAGTCCTTAAAGTATGAATCTTAAGCCAAGAATTATTAAACCAGGAAA